TGTAGCCACTTCATCCCCAAAATCATATCAGTGCTTCTCAAGTCCAATGGAAGGAAGTTATCCACCACCTATATGCCTTGTAGTGTCAACACTAATTTCCTGCAAATTCCCTAATTTTTATCTACCTTCCTTGTACCCATCATGACCACCAAACTTCTTGTGTCTACCAACTTCAACCTCAACTAGTCCACGACCCAATTGGAGATGAAATTGTGAGTGACCTCACTATCCACCAACATCACTACCAATTCCACGATCTGTCCCCTCACCTTCATGGGGTGATTTATAGTAAATATCACCATTAGGTTGAGGGACACCTCCGTTACATCCAAGTGCAAGTGCTCCCCCACCTATTTTTCCTCCTTACTATACGTCTCATCCCCCTCACTAACTAAAAGGGCCTGGAGTGTGTGCTCCTTGCATCAGTGGCATGGGGCATTTCTCTAATTACATCAAAAATATAATCCTTTTGCTCTCTTGTCCCATCCCTCAGCCAATGTAAGGGGCTTGAAATTGACCCGGGACAGGTCCCCACATTCCTCTTCTTCGGTGAATTCTTCTGAAATGACATAGTCTGGGTCCTCTGTGTCATGGTCATTGATGTATTTTTGTAGAATTTTTCAATGGTGCCACTTTTGTTGGTCTTCTTCATCCGTTTCATGTCTTCCATCATCTGGGTTAGCTCCATCGGCTCTCTCAATCTTCATGGTCTTAATGGTCGGAATGCTTTCCGTATGTTGGGGTTTAGATCCTATATGAAGTTCCTCTCCAGTTTTGTCTCATAAACTCCTTTTAGTTGTATCGGTAATAGCTCAAATTTCTCTCTATACTCCATGACAGTCCCCTTCTGAGTCAAGACATAGAACTGCTTGTGTAGGATTTCATCCAAAATGTCTCCGAAACATTCTAACAAGCAATCCTTAAATTCCTCTCATGAACGAATTTGGTATATTGCCTCCCTCCACTTACACAATGCTAGGGCTTTCACTTCCAAACATAACCCCATCGTCGCAAGCTTCTCTTCCCCATTTAGCCAATTCATCATGAAGTATCGCTCCACTCAATACACCCATCCATGTGCATTTTCCTCCTTCGAAGATCGTCATCTTCAACTTCCTAACCATAACATCACCTCCCAAACTTTCTCTCCCTCAGGTGTTTCCCTCATGTACCTAAGGTGAAACTCTCTCTATTCCAATTTCTCTCATTCCTTCTTCGTGCTTCTGCAGGCCCCTTGCATATCCCATCTTCCAAAATTTTGGCCCAACCCCTCTCTCGGAAATGTCTAACCCAACCCTTGCCAGAGTCATCGAGGGAAGTTCTTTATGGTGAATGTTTTTCTCTTGCTCCTCTCGTTCGGTCTATTTCTCTTTTGATTTGGCCAAGGATCCTTCCGTTGACCCTTGGTTAGGGTTCACAGATTGAGTCGTCGAGGGGGTCTTGGGTTGCACCTCAACAAGCCTCCTTCTCATATCCTCCAAGCTCTCGAATCAATTTCTTATGGAAGGAAACCTATTGTCCATGGAGAAAAATCTTGGCGGAGAACCTTTCTTCTATCCCAAATTTGATTTTGTTCTACTTTTCTTTCCATTCTCTCTTCCAACGCATCCACTATCTTTGTTGTCATCTCTCCAAGATCTTGCTCTGATACCAATTTGATACCAACCGGTGCCAAAACCAATGAGCAACTTGCAATATACATCTGGGAAAACACAGTATAGGGCTTATTTGATTAATCAAAGCAAACAAACAAGATGCAGCGGATGATCTACAATTTGAGAGGTAGATTATGTCTTCACAAACCCTAGATGCCTCTAGGAACAAAGACAAAAGAAAAATTGCTACCCCAAACATAAAACAAACTTGGGAGTTCGAATTGTCCTCAGCCGCTCCTAGGGCTTCTTCCACTCTTGGCTGGCTTGGCCAAGCCGGCTGGTTTATCTGGTTTTGGCCTGTCGAGACCGATTTTACCTGGGCCAGTTCCTATGTGTACTGTCATAGTAGGCGTATCAGTATAATAATGCATAATGAGAACTTTATGGTGAGATTTTAGTCGTATAAATTTCTCATGAAATTTATTGATGCTAAATGTCTCTAATGAAGCTTCGAATTACAACTCTATCTATATGGCCAATTCTAATATTGCATAATTTATTACAATTCATATTTGAATTGTTTAAATTAGATTTATTTTAATGGATGTTTTCTATGGTCATAAATATATTATTTTTATATGATTTATCTGTTTTTGTATCTATATCATATTTTCCTCTAGGATTTCGTTATAGGCCTTCCTTAGCATCCTTACTGTCACTTCATACATGATTAATTATATGCATGAGTTGTCCTGTTTGCATGAAAATATGCGATAAAAAATTGTCGTGTTTAGCGTTGTTGCTGCATTTACTATTTTAGCATGTTTTAGTCACTTTACACACTATTAATCGTATCGTTTGCTTGCGCTGTACTGTTTGCATGAAAATATGCCTTAAAAATTCTGTTAATTATGTAATTCTAGGCCAACTATTAATGTGTGTATGTGTGGTATTTATAGTTACTAGGTTGTGTTTTGTAATTATGCCTACCAATTTTTGGTTAAAATCATCTTGTCGTATAGATGTGAGACTTAATTTTCTATTCAAGGTGAATTACTTTCTTTTTTTTTTCCTAAATAATATTGTGTTTGTGTTTGTGAGTATAAAGAATTTAGTCAGAGTTGGTACCATCAACTTTTCTGGCTGTGGCATGTTGTGATTGGATATTGATTTTTTTTGTTTTAAAATTTCTCATTGAATTTTTTTGATTTAATAAATCATTAAATCATTGTATTATGAGGATTTCGTGTAGTTTTCGATTTAAATTAAAAGAGGATGTGTTTTTGACATAAGTTAGATGAATTGTTGTGGTCATTGATGGTCATATTGTCAAAGAGACCATATACAGAAAACAACTAGTTGGCCGGATTATGACATTGTCACTCTGATTGCACACAATTCATCGATGAAAATCTGAATTTAAACTTGTCAAAATCATTATGACCTTTGCGAGTCATTTGCAGCTTGAATTACTCTTGAAAATGAGAATGTTTTATATCAAGGGCTGGGGGTTCCATTAGTATTTTGTGGTGGTTCTAAATATGACTAGGAATTATTTTGGATTGATAATTATTTTAAAGGCAAAGTCGAGCTGCATTGGGTTTCTTGCATGAAGGAGAACAAACTAATACGTAGTTTGAACCTAGTTTTTTTCCTTTTTAAGGTCACATTAAAATGTGAATTTTGCTCCAAGTTTTGTTTTGAATGATCCTACATATTCAAAGTTTTAACTCCATTTTTTGCTTGTGCCATTGAATGCTTTGAGATGCTACCTTTTTGTCCGCTTGTTGGAGGCTTTGTTGCTAGAGGTCGCTCGATTTGGCTGTCTTTAACTAAGTTGATTTGGTCAATATCATCTAATCTTCTTAATATTCGGCAAGGGTGTGATCTGTGTTTTTGATTTTGATAAGACAGGAACATTTCATGATAATTTCAGATAAGGCTTGAATTGGCCAACTAAAAAAATAAATATAGATCCAATTACTCTTTTTTTTCACATTTTGAACTTAGAATCAGCGAGGATTTTAAAGAATTTTAAAGCTTTGATCATTGCTTAGGGGCATTAATTACCCTAATTAGTCGTCACTAGAGTTCTACCTATCCAAACTTCTTCCTCACTTGCTAGGTCATTACCCTCTCTATTATGAAAAGAGAACGACAAAACCGATCATCTTTTATCAGTCATTATTTGATAAGTGCCTGCATATAATTATATTGTCCGAAAATGCAGGATGCCAGTTGACCAACATTGTCTGATGTTTGTCAATGCCCTACTTCTGTTGCTCTTTATCACCCTTCATTGACATTGTCATCTCTCTTCGACATAATCGACCCTTAAAACACCCTTGAATATCATCTTAGGTGACAATCTGTAATAGTCTAAATTCGATAGTTGTATTCACGCCTTTTTATTTATTTGAGAGGGTAAGTTTTTGTAACTTCAAGCATATTCTTAGTGATTTATTTCAATTGGGTTGAACCACAAAAAGTTAATTTCCCTCTGAAGTTTCTACAAAAAGGTAATTTTTCTTTTCATTTTAACTAGTCCTTATTTATAACAGTTATTGGCTTGAACTCCAAGTAACCACATTATGTTTATTTTGTTAAATTTCAGCTGCACGCTCTCATCCCGGTTTTTATTAAACTTTGATGGATTGTGATGTAGTTATGGCTTTGTTTTGAACACTGGACAGTCATAAGCATACTTAGGTTTAGTTTGCTCTGAATGCCAACATTTCTCTTTAAGTATACCCTTCTGACTTGATTGTATGAATTTATTAGTTCATTGAAACTCCAATCAACCATGAAATTTATGAGATCCATCTTGACATAGTGGTTGAGAGCTTTGTCTTTCAATCAAGTGGTTATGGGTTCAAAGTCTTGCATAAGCGGTGTGCATGCATTGGAATGCGTCTGTGTGAAAAAAAAAACTTGACCATGAAATTCTATCATCCATCGGAACAGCACCAGATTATGCCTATTCTTTCAATTTGGAGAGAGTTCAATAAATGATATTTGTTGCTCAATCTTTGATCAAAGCTTCTGGGTTTCCACTTCTAGTCAATCCAATGCTGCTAAATGGGATGTAGTCGTATCTTTTCCTTTCTGATTTGCATATTATTATTCATTACATCATCTTTGAATGCTACCACATTATCATTGTCTTTCCTTGGGTATGCTATCTCTTGCTTTTGCTATTTTATGAGAATCAAAATTAGTGGTAATTGTGCTCATAGATGAATTTGGATGCTCAAATTTGATTGCTATGATTGCTAATTCAATCTCTTACTGCATTATTAACGTTTTAGGTTATTTATTATTTAAAGTTGTTTGATTTTATATGATCATTTAAAACTGTTTGTGAGGATATTTTTGTCTCAAAAAAATTCTTTTGTATCTGTCCAGGGTTGCAAATTATGGTGACCTTTCCCCTGAATGTGCTAGCTCTTACTACAAATATGGTTGTGCGCTCTTGTACAAAGCTCAAGAGGAAACAGATCCATTGGGCGATGTTCCTAAGAATACTCAAAGAAACTCGACCAAGGATGAATCCGCGGCTAACATGGAAGAATGTGGAGGTTCAGTGCCATCTTCTGAGTTAAAAGAACAAAATTCTTCTAACAAGTCTGAAATTGGAGGAGGTAATTTTTAGTTTTTTTTTTTTTTTACATTGAAAAAAGCCCGAGCTTTTTGGTATATGATTTATCATGTCTGTAATTGTATCGGCGCATTTTTATTGTGCAAGCTATCCATTCCTATAAAATTATTTTTTTGCCATTGTCTGTACTTACTGTACTTTTCGCTGTCCTACATATGTAAAAGCCCTTACATTTCCTACTAAATTGGTGCAAGAAGCTTAGATTGAACACTTTTTTATGTATGGAAAGGAAAAATTTTAATCCTCTCTAATATGTGGCAGTTTTTAACATTGCAAATTTTTTTCCTTCTATTATTTTGATATCCACCTGGTTATTTTTCTTTGTTTTTTGTCAACTATGCACTTTTTAATTTTTAATATGCTAAAACAAATTACAAGTTGCAGAATGTTTTGACCTCACGAAGATAGCAGTCAGAGGATATAAATGTTCAAGGGTAAGGTTGTGGATCTGAATAACTATAGAAATTTAACAGTAGGCTGTAAATGCGGTGAATTAAAAAATTTAAATATTAACTAAAGGCCTCATGGAAAGCATTGTTAATTGCACTAAGGCGAATTTCAAAGCAAGTAGGAGAATTAAACTATTATGTAGGCTTGGTGGTGGTGGAGTAAAGATGTACATAAAAATTAAAGAGAAGAATTATGCTTTCAAGGCATGCTTTAAAATGCATGGTAAGAGATTTGAAAATTTATTAGTTCATAAAGACGGTAAGGGTAAGATGTTACCTGATCTGATTTCTATTGTATGTCTGTCACTACGACAAGATAAAAAGAAGATTTATTAAATGCTATAATATTTTAAACTTCAACATATTAGGTGTATTAAGAAATGAATATTATTAAGGTTTCTTTGAAGATGAAGTTATAGAAGATAAATGGAAATGCTCATAGAAGTTTCATGTAGATGTATTGTAGTTGTACAAAGAGATGAATGCACACTTTCCTTTATAATGTGAATTGTTAAGTATATTATTGATTGATTGATACCATAGGAGAAAGCCCAAATCACAAAAGAAACACAAATATTATTATTTGAAATTGAGATAAGTTATAATGACTCTTCAAAACATGAAATAAACGACAAACAAACATAAAGACACAAACCAACTTCTCGAAAGTGTATCCCAAAACCCCTCAGTTCAGATTGCAGGTTGCAACTCACATGCAGGAAGTCAGAATAGCTAGTAATAGTGGTGAATTCATTCCCGATCCTTGAACACACCGCCCGTCATACTATGGGAGCTGGCCACGCTCGAAGTCGTTACCTTAACCACAAGGAGGGGGGTGTCGGCCCAGTAGATCCGTAGGCTTGGGAAAACAAGGGTGAATGCGGGAGAGGGGATGTCCGGGGTTGGAAGGTGAACTGGAGGAGGGAGGCAGCAGATTAAGGTGGTTTCAGCGATAAAAATTTGGGTGTGTTGAGTCGCCCGTAGGAAACTGTCGGTCGCTAGAATCGAAATCCTGTCGTCCTCTTTGGAAGGACGTTTTAATTTACATATATATTTAAGTTTCGAAAAATATGAATTCAAACTGACCTCATAATTTTACAATTTAAATGAAAAAGCACTCTAGGAGCACTATACCTCAAACCCTGTATCTATCCCGAGAGATAAACACAAAACTTGAGGATGTAGCTCGATCAAATAAACTAAGAAATATATGACGTCCGTTTGGTCTTCAAAACCGTTTTATTTGCCGAAAAATTTCTCTATTTAATATGAGAAATTAAATAGACTTTATTTTAAGTTGGGTTCAGAAAAACTTCCTATAAGGGCAAACCCCTATATTTAATTACATCTTAAATGTCCAAAGTCACTTAAAAATACTCTCGATAAAAAATCAGGAAAAATTATCTTCAAAGACTTCAAAAGAATGAGACTTTTCAACGAAATCGGACAAAGAGCTGTGAAAGGGGAATGACTCAAATTTGGAACATTTATAACAGAATCCAAAGGAAGAAGAACTAGGGGATGCCACAGATCCAGAGGAGATCCTCGGTGACTTCTCAGTTTACCCCATGGTTTGGCTTCAGTTTCGAAGAGAAATATTCAAGTGTTTTATTCTGCCAATTTTATCTATTTAGGGCTTACATTCGTGTCAAACGATCACACAAATAGCCTGAAAGATGTGAAAATTTAGGTCGTAACGAACGACAACCTCAGAATCCTAAAACGAGTTAGGGCTTAGATCGTACAACAAAGTTATACAAATGCCTAAAGAAAAGGTTGGGGATTTATGTTGCGCTAGGCGAACAATCTTGAAATATTATGGATTGTTTTTTTAATTTCTAGGAAAGGAATGATTTAGCTGGGGAAGATGTTCTGCTGTTGAAGATGGTCGTGCTGCCCACCGCGCTAATTCCAAGCTCCTTATCATGACGAGTTTAAGTTTTCTAGGGTGTCAGGTTATAATGTCATTTCCAGCGGCTCTATGGTTGTAGTTATTCAGATATCTTATAGATAATATGTTGAAGTTGTACAATGTATAACATAACAGTATGGTATGTAGCACATGACAAACAGTAGAGTATGCTGTAAAGAAAGCAATACAACATGCAGTGTAAAGAAAAAGTAAAAATAATACAGCAGATAGGTGATTTGCAAGAAAATAACATGCTGTAAACATAAAACAAACCTGTATACCTTGGAGGTCCGCTGTTCTTTAGGTGTAATTGATGCAATATGTACAAGAAATAAAACTTGAGGAAACATATTGAAATACTTTATATAAACGAAAATAAAGAAATATCGTCCAGAAATCTCGAGAAAGATCGTCAAAAGACTCACGACAAGAGAAATGAGAGGAAATCGATGAATCGACAAATCGATTAAAATTGTATAAAACACAGGAAAATTCCGTAAAGAGACCACAGGTACTTTGTCCAAAAATTCCAAGAAAAATATATGAAAAAGTCCGAAAAGAGGGGGACCGCAAGCACCAAAGATAAATGGCTTAACCTGAGTCAAAATGACCTCCTAACGCCGGTATCCAAACCTCAAAGATATCTTTTATGAAATCAAGTCGTCTCAACCAAGTATTCTCCCGAAATAAAATTAGCTCTCAAAATTCATGACGAAAAGACCTGCAAAGGAAGATCCGAAGATCCTAAAATCAATCCTAAAGGCTATCACTTTCTCACATTTTATAAATGGCTTAACCCGAGTCAAAATGACCTCCTGACGCCAATATGTCTCCCAAAGACATCTTTTATGAAATCAAGTCGTCTCAACCAAGTATTCTCCCGAAATAAAATTCGGAAATCTCCCAAACTTCACAAATCAAGCAAAAGGAAAGTGACCCCGGGGAAACCACCACTAGTATTTCCAAACCCATACAAAAATCAGGATCTTCCAACTTTCAAATTAATCAATAGCCTCATATATCAAATACGCATAAAATCATCCCATAGAACCAGAGAAATGCTCACGACCGGGGTCAATAGAGGGGGGTATAGCCACCAAGGCTTTCAGTTAAGGCAACCCAAAGAACAAGAGGAGCTCACGACCAAGGCAACCCAAGACACAAGAAGCTCACGGTTAAGGCAAGCCAAACTAGCTATATATGGATTTTTGATATACATAAGAGAGTGCAAAATATAATCATAATTTCAATCCACTTACAATCATCCAAGTAGTTCAAGCCCAACAAGAAGGACTAAATCACACCAAACAACCTCCACTAGGTCTCACGGGTGAGGCCAAAAACGCATAACCAAGCTCCAACTAGCTTGCGGGTAGGAACCAGAACAAATCAAACCAAACCCCATTTAAGAAACTCATGGCCACAGACAACAAGGAGGAATCCAACACAACACGAACCCACGGGTGAGGGACAAAGAAGAAGAAGACCTCCGTCTGCTAATGTCACGGGTAGAGGGCAAAGTCGAAAACCACAGGGGCAGTGCCCACCGAGAAAGGCTCACGACCAAATTAGTGAAAGGAAAACCACCCTAGGTATTGCCAAAGTATTGCCCCAAAGTATTGCCTTGATATGCATAAGAGAGTGAATGGACAAGCTTTCATAAATCATCCCAAACCGACTCTAATTTCCTCAAGCAAAACTCAAGAAATATCTCAATTCATTTTGAATCACCTCACTCTATTGGTGGATAGTGCAAATATTCTCTTTGAATGACAAACTTGATTTATCAACAACACTCAAGCCACTCAGACTCAACAAGAAGAGTCATACCGTCCCAGACAACCCCTCAATAGGTTCACGGGTAGGAATAGCAGAAGTACAAGACACCAACCCAACAAGCCTCTTGAATAAGGACAGCACAAAACACAAGCTAGGCCCTCGGGCAAGGGCTTAAAAATGAGTCAAACCGAGCTCCTCAACTAAGGCCAAAAACCACAGCTAGCAAATGACCAAAATCGAGCCCAGCAGGGGCTAAAGCCAAACCAACATAAAGTAGGCTATACCAAGTCTTAAGATTCTAAGGTTTGCATGTAGTACTTGCTTCAAACAGGGGCAAGTAGCAGAAAACAAATAAACGCAGGTGAGCCCCCATAGAGATCGAACCAAAACTTTATAGGCCAACAAACACAGCTTATGACAATAAATCCAAACTCGGCCACTTTTAAGAAAACTGAAAACCAGCAAGGGCCAAACAAAACTCTCAAAGCTAGTAAAAGAGCTTCAAAAAAGAGCTTCTACACCTCAACGAAAGTCAAGACCCAAACCTCAATAAAAATCAACATCCCATGTTCCTGAAATCAAAATCGAGCACCAACAAAAACCCAAAACCGAGCCATTAAAGGCCAAGGAACAGTCTACATCTCTTTAAAAGATCAGTATATAGATCAAAATAGGTTTAAAACCATAACAGTGTCATGTAAAGTATTTTTAGGCCACCAATATAATCGTTATAAGCATAAATCAACTCCCCCCCCCCCCCTCCGAGGAGCCAAACCAAATTATTAAAGCAAACTATAGAACCTTTCCTAAATCAAAGTGAACTTCTTCATAACATGCATTTTT